GTGATTCATTGGATATATATATATATTTGAAAATTAGCATTTTAAAATTTGAAAGTACTAGATCTAATCGTTCTCATATAGACAATAATTTAAATAAACGAGCACAAAACGACAAGCTGTGCATCTATCCAGAGGAATAGACACGTTACTTGAAAGTGAAACTCAATTAAATAAATTAAAGAATTAATGATATTTGTTTTGGTCTGCGAAATATTTTATGTTGACCGACAAGTTCCCCTATCTAATACAAAAGATTAGACAAGATTTATATTACCTCGATTCTTAAAGCTCCCTATAAAGGTAAACCCTTATAGTTAATTACATTATAAATTACCAAAGTACTTAAGAAAGCTCTCGATTTAGATTAGAGGTATTTGTTTTCAAGATTCTCAAAGTTTAGGATTTTAAGGTCAGACGTAGGAAATTTCAAATGGGAAAGTTCAAATGGGAACAGTTATTTTTGGAATCTAAAGGGAGAAAAGTAGGGGATGTCACAGATCCTAAGGCAAGCCTCGGGGACTTCCCGAACTATCTTATGGTTTGGCTTCAATTTTGAGGAAATATTATTAAATGATTCATCATGAAAATTTTATTATCTTAAGGCTTATATTTGCATGATACTGATCGTGTAAATAGCCTGGAAGATATGAAGGTTTATGTCGTAAGGAATGACACCTTCATAGCCTAAATCGAGTCAAGGCTTAAGGAACATAAAAGCTAAGTACTAGTTGAGTTCCCAATTCTAGTACTTTAGTTCCTAGGTGCTTGAAAATAGCACACCATGAAGTCTAGTGCCCCATTGTAGCGCCATGAAGCCTCTATCAGGCATGTTCAACCTCTCCCAATTTAAGCAAGAGGAATCTTGGTGCCTCACAGTGGCACAAAGGTGTCTCTTCATAGGTATGACACCAGCTTGCAACACCTTGGTGCCTCCCTACTGGCCCGACTAAACAAAGCAAGCAGCCTAATGTTGACACTCCTTGGGATACCTGGCACTTGAAAAAGACTCAAGAAGGTGGAATGATGAGAATTAAAATGTTCTAAGGAGAAATTTTTGTCCTAACCATTCAACATCAGGAATTAGAGTGGTTCTTAACAGTGCGGCCTCACTGTGGTTATAAACGAAGGGTCCTTGAAGTTTAGAGGAGCACTCCTATGTTTGAAGTTTGAACCTTTGTGTGAAGGAAAATGAGAGTTTTGAGGAGAGATTGTGAGGAACTATGTGAGGAATTTGAGAGATAGATTTGAGACTTTTATCTTATAGTTTGATCATGTTAATTAGTTAAAGTGAAGAAGGAGAGAAATCTTATAAAGCATTTAAACAGGGTGTAATCTATCTTGTTCTTTTATTTTTGAACTATTATATTTTGATTTGCTTTTGTGAATACAGTTTTTTTTTTGTTATTTCAAAGCAAAAGTAACACTTAAATCACACTTTCTACCATGAATTAGTGAACAAGAGATCTAGGGTTTAGTTTCTTTATGCGATTGAATTTATCATGCATAATTGTATTGTTTTAACTTTAAGCACTTAATTTACTCTCACTATGGCCAATTATTTTGTTAAAATTTTTTGTGGTATATGAGTTTTGGAAGAAAACTTAGTATAACAACTAAGTTAAAGCACATTGGCTTAGAAGAATATGGATATTGCTTCTAGGTTAGTGTAATCGTGTAGACAAAATCTTGAAAATATTTACATGGTTTAGGGAACTAAACTAAAATAAAAATTTCCAAACATATTTATGACCACCAAGAAAACCTTCACAGGAAATCCCTTCCTGATTCTCACCTATAATTTTATCACTCGGTTAAACCAAGGTTTATAAGATCCAAATTAGGGGAGAATCCTTCGCTTGATAGAAACCCTCACTGTTTAATACAGGCTCAACAATTAGGACTAGCAACTTTAAAATCACCAACATTCGAATACTTCAGCTATACACGAAACAAGTAGACTAAAACTTTTTGTATTTTGGAAGCTCTCATTTCTCATGGGATCAACACACAAACTCAAATTTATATATTAACTGATTGACACATATATTTGTAAGGTTGTCACCTATTTTGAAGCTTTTTAATCATCAAGTAGAGATAGTGATTCATTTGAATATGTATAGTCACACCTCTCCACCATAAGATTGAATTCCTCAAAGGGAACCCTTTTTTTCTTCTTCTTTAACTTTGAACAATTTTTCTTTCGATGACCAGTCCTTGAGCACACTATTTTTCTCAAGTTCATGCCCACAAGACTTGATTTCCTTTTAAAAGTTTCACCATTATTTTTTGTCAAATTCTTTCTCTTTTCAAATCTGTCATGTTGTAGTGTAAGTGCATCACCTGACTCCATCTTTGCAAACTCCTTGTCCCTTAAACTGAACTAATGGTTCAACAACAACGTAGTCATCTCACCATAATTTAAGACAACCCTCTCATAAATGAGTATCATCATTAAGTTTTCGTACCCATAATAGAGAAAATTCAATTGAAGAAGTGACTTGTCTTTTTCTCAAACCTTTTCATACAGATTTGCAAATCTGACAAAAACTTCGTAAAATTATTCAAGTGTTCATTAATTTTAATACTACATAAACCCTTAGATTCGAAGCTTCATATGGAGACGATTCTCCATGCTCCTCATAAGATGTTTGTTCTCTAGAATCTTCCATAATTTTTTTTGGTAGAAGTCATCATCATCACTCTATATTTGATCTACTAAAATAAACAATTTTAGATCAAGTTACGAGCACTTTGGTTCATCTTTAACAAATTTTTTCTGACATTTCTTCAAGACATTCATCGTGATCAAGAACTTCCTCAAGCTTCAAAGAGCACAACATATTCATCACATCACATCACTGCATGACAAAGTTCCCGTTGTCGCTCGTCACATTGATCTTGATGGATGCCAAAACTAACTGATGAATCAACGTCTTTTCTACCGTTGTGGTGGATGTTGCAGTACCTGACGACATTCTATTTTCCATGGCACCCACATATCTCGTAACTCAACTTGCTCTGATCACTTTGCCCTATGTCCACTACTTCGTTGGAATTGTATTGATCTAGCTTTGATAGCAATTGTTGTGCAAAATATTATGGAAAATAATATCACACAACAAACAACCAATTAAAAATGGTGTCTCTTTCTTGTTTCAAGGCAAATCTGCATGCATCCACGAGGATGGGCTATTCTACTATCAACAAATCGGGAGAAAGAAAAGATGACAGCTCCACACTAATGCCAGCCATATCCCTCCTATAGGTAAGACAGGATTAGTTCACATAAGAAAACTAAAAAATGACCAATTTACCTTCTATCAAAACAAAACCTCCAATACAACACGAATTGCACGAATTCATTAAATAGCTAAGAATAATTATTATTTTAAATTTAAAAAACAATTATTAAATTTTTACTTATCTAAACGCTTTGAAGCAACCACTTTCTATTTTTTGATTTTATATGGAGAAAAGTTGCTAAAAATAAAAAAAAAATAATAATTGCAACCCTTTTCTTCCTCCGGTAGGGAGAGGAAGTCCTCTCGGATGAAGTTTGATATATAGAAGCCGGCAAGCTCCCATCTTCCCAGATTTCTCTAATTCATATTCTACTTTTATTTAGTCTGTTTGTTTTTTTTCAAAAATGTCAAATGCATTGGCTGATCGGGCTACAAGCGATATGCTCATTGGGCCCGATTGGGCCCTGAACCTGGAAATCTGCGACATTCTTAATCATGATCCAGGGTATGAATTTTCTTTTTCTTCTCTCTTTTATTTTCCCATTCTATTATTTCGTATTGTTTAAATGTCATGATTCGAGAAAGAAGACATGCATTTTAGATCTATATGTTTTTCAATATAATAATAAAAAAAGGACATACAATTTATTTAATGCAATGGCACATGAATTTCATCGAATTCTATGGAGTTCTTTATCATTTTGTTGCAAATTTTGATGATATGACATATATGAGAGTCAATTTTCATTATTAATCTCTTATTTTTTGTGAATCTGAATTTAATATTGCTGATGCGCCCAGAGTGAGGTCTGAGAAAAAATTTCGCTGTGTGTTGTCTGTGCGCGAGCTACGTATGGATGATGGACACGATACACCGGAGGAAAAAAAAAAAACATTTTGGCTGTGTATCACGTCCGTTGTCCGTACGTAGCCAGCGCACGGAGGACGTATGCAAAATTTTCTCGAGATCTAACCATCAATATCTCTTGGTGATCTTTTCTTTAGTGTTCTCGTGCTTCTGTCAATTAAATCCACAAACAGAATAATGACTGTGTGTTGTCTGTGCGCGAGCTACGTATGGACAATAGATACGATACACTTAAAAAAAAAAAACATCTTGGTTGTGTATCGCGTCTGTCGTTCGTAGGTAGCTCGCGCATGGAGGACGTATGCAGAATTTTCTCGAGATCTAACCATGAATATCTCATGGTGATCTTTTCTTTAGTGTTCTCGTGCTTCTGTCAATTAAATCCACAAACAGAATAATGATATCTAACTTAAAAATTTATAAATTCCATTGTTTGCTTGAAATATTTCTAACAATTATTAAGTCTGAACTCCGGACGTATAGATACGTCTAGAGTCCAATGAAATCATGTTACATCGAGGTGAAAGAAAAAAAAATTGTTTTAGGACAAGAGAATATTCTCTCCGTGTTATTCCGCGTTATTCAGGTGTTATTAATGTGGCATTCATGTATTATTGTGTTCTGGGAATATTTCCAATGTTTTAATAACATAATAACACATCAATATCACCACAATAACTAGGGGTATAAACGAGCCGAACATGAGTGAGCCAAGCACAGCTCGTGTTCGACTCGTTTATATTTCGAGCTCAAAAAGTGTGTTCGTGTTCCGTTTGGCAAAGGGGGCCGAACACGAGCTGTTCACGAACAAAAAGTCCTTCTAACAACCCTAATGATGTAGCCATAAGACAACAAAGGTTTGAGCAAGATTTAAAAATTATTATTTATATTACAACATCATTTGAATCTAATTTAAAAATTTTTATTCTATTTTCTTAATCATAGTCAATTAGATTTTATTCTCTCTCTCTCTCTCTCTCTCTCTATATATATATATATATATATATAAACTTGATGAGTAGTATTTCGAGCCAAAACGAGCCGAACATGAACGAACATATCTTAGTTCGTGTTCGGCTCGTTAACTTATCGAACGAAATTAAAGAGTCGAACACGAGCTTCTTAACGAGCCGAACACGAGCTGTTCGCGAACAACGAGCCGTTTTGACAGCCCTAACAATAACACCTGAATAATGCGGAATAACACAGGAGAAATATTCCAATGTGTTATCGGGTCAGATCACAAGAAAACGAGTATTTTTTTTTTCTATCTGCTCCACGTGGAGGTGATTCATTGGATTCCGGACGTATCTCTACGTTCGGAGTCCGGACTCCAGACATATCGCGTCTGGCATTTTTACGTAATTCACTTACAAACGACACACACAAAATTTTCTCGAGATCTAGCCATCAATATAACATGATGATCTTTTCTTTAGTGTTCTCTTGCTTCTGTCAAATAAATCCACAAACAGAATAATCATACCCAACTTACTCAAAAATTTATGAATTCCATTGTTTGCTTGAAATATTTTTGTGTCCTGCAGACTATTAATACTAGCCATTGAAATTGAATGGCTCTATCTTGAAGGTATAATCTTTCACTAATTTGAGTTTCTTCTTAATGGTCTTTGTATTTAACTCAGGCAAGCCAGAGAGTTTGTGAAAGGTCTTAAAAAGCGTATCAGAAGTAAGAATCCAAAAGTACAGCTACTGGCTCTTACGGTATGTAGAAAGAATATAATGCATTTTTATAGCTTACTTATAGTCGTAAGCTATGCTTTGAAATAGTCGATATTTTATATTGTTGCCTTGTTCTAAGGAATAATATCAAGTGTTTAACGTTAATGAAATGACTAACACTAGAGTTTTTTGCAATGATTGTTTGAAACCGGGTTTGTAAGTATTTGGACATTTACTTGCCACACAATTCTAATGTATTTACATGTCGAACAACCAAAGGTTAATATGTACACTTATAATAGTTTAATTTTATGAACGTATGAATGAAAAGTATATGTAACTTTTAAAAAGATAGTGATTATGGTATTGTTGATGTGATGTTAATGATTTGAGTAGTCTGCATTTAGATATCTATGGCTAGATGTTCGACATATAAATATGTAAGAATTTCGTAGTATGTATGTAAATGCCCCTAAAATATTTTGGTAAAGAGTTTGTAGTAGAGGATATTGGAAACAAGAATATAGTGCTTTGTAACTGAGAGGAGTTTTCTTGAAGTAATGACGATATTGTTGAAATTTGTTTTGGTGAAAGAGATAAGTTGAGCTAATCAGGTAAGCTCACATTAAAAATTAAAAGAAAAATAAGAAGATGCAACATGATATCTGTCATTTGTAATGACTAATTTTTCATGTATGGCAAATGGGCAATGTCTTGAAGGTTGCAAAGTCTTTGTTGTTTCAAGGCAAAAGTGTAGTTTACTACTTGTAAAATTTAATTCCATTTATATTTTTGTTACTTTTACATTTTTCATGTGATTTTAAGAATTGTAAATAGTGCCGGTTAAAAATGAATTATGAATTATTGATGTAATTAAATCTACCCTTTTATAGTTGTTGGAGACGGTAGTAAAAAATTGTGGCGACATGGTTCAGATGCATATCGCAGACAAAGATATCCCACATGAAATGGTGAAGATTGTGAAAAAGAAGGTTGGATCTTGCTCACATGAATAGATTTGTAATTTCTATTTTTACTTAACTTCTCAAAAAGAGTTTTGTGCAAGTGTAGCCTGATTTTCATGTCAAGGAGAAAATATTAGTGCTAATATACGCTTGGCAAAAGGCTTTTGGGGGCTCGCAAGGAAGATATCCACAATTTTTCATGGCGTATCATGATTTATTGGTATGGTTCTATTTACTATTTATGATCAAAATTAATACGCATTTCAGTTGGTGTAAATGTTTCTATCTCATTCTAGATTGATAAAGTCACTTTCTGTAATATTATAAGAAAGATATCAAAATAGTATTCTGACTATTTGCAAGGGGCTATTTTGGCCCCATAGTTTATAAAAGTGCTAATTTAATTCCCATTTTCTATTAATATTGGCTAATATATTTCTCTTTAGAGACAATTTCAAGCCATATTATAAAAATAAGGACTAATTTGACCTTTTATAGACTTGAGGACTAAAATCTGCTAATAGTCTGGGTACTATTTTGGCACTTGCATCTCAAAGTTATATTTATGATCCGATGCATAAATACAAGGAAGTGATTTATTTTAGAATGTTATGTATGAAATATAGCTAAATCACTTTCTAAATTCTTTTTTTTTTCTTTCTTTTTAACAGCGTGCTGGAGTAGTATTTCCTAAACGACCTATGATGTCCACACCCATATTTACTCCTACACAGAACAGACCATCAGTTTTGTATCCCCATCGTATGAGAAACTATGAAAATAAAACAGAAAAACTAGAAATCGGTAGCGATTCTCAAACTCATGTTCTTAGGTAAGCTGCTACTTACAAGTTTGAAATTGTGATTTGCATGGTTCCCATGGTTGATTAGGTTCAAAAGAAATACTATTTTGTTGGTTTTTTTTGCACCCAGTTTATTGTATTAGTGTTTTACTTTTTTTAATCCTAATTGTCTCATTAATGGAATGAAAAAAAAAGGCTCAAGTCACTAAATGTAGTACGATGATCATATTGGCAGTGGTAGTGGCTCAAGGCTGGTTAATGCCTTTAGAAAAAGTTGATGAGAGGTTGATATATTTCAGATTTAAAATCCAAGGTTTTAGTTTGATAGCACCTTAATGCTAGGTTCTAATCTATTATCTTTGTTTTTCTAGCTTTGTTGTGCAGTATTTTTAATGTTTCCTTAGCGATGTGAGTGTTTATGTTGATAATTTATTTTTTAGAACATTGAAACATCTTCATAAATCCATACACGTGTTGGTACTCAACAAAGCTTGGCTAAGCTTCAATTTTTTTCTCTAACCTCTTAAAGTATTGTACATCTTAAAATGATATTTTATTATTTGTAGTTTGCAAATTGCAATAAAAGAGTATATATTCTAAGGAATAGTAATTTAGTTTTATTTCATAAAATTATGTAGCTTCATTAAATATAAAAAGAAATTTATCAAATGTAAATGATGGAATAATTGAACATATTATCAATCAAGCTATTTTTTCAAGTACTATGCATGATTTTTGGGTAACACTGATACATTTCATGGGAACAATATTATTGTAAAACCCCTTAAGTAGAAAGAAGCTAAACTCTTAAACATCGAGACATCTTTTGGTGTAATAGTTGGAATTTCATCAAAAACTATAAAGTTAAGTGTGCTCGTGTGAGCGCACTCTTTGGAAGTTACTCCAATGGGATAAAATTGTGAGGTTATTAAGTCTAAATAGATAATAACTTGATGGGTGAGAGTTCTGGTTGTTACAAACAATATTAAAACACTACACAAGTTTGAATATGAGAATATCTTCTTTGTGAATGATTTTGGATTAATAAAACTGACAAGGACACTAATTGCTTAAATGAGGGAGATGCTGAAACGCCTTAAGTAGAATGAAGCTAAACTTTTAATCATCGAGACGCCTTTTGGTTTAATTGTTAGAATCTTATTAGAAACTCTAAAGTTAAGTGTGTTCATTCGGGAGCACTTTTGAAATGGGTGATCTTCTATAAAATTACACCAATGGGACAAATCTGTGAAACCATTGGCCAAAGTGGATGATGTCTCGATGCGTGAGAGTCGGGCTGAAACATTTATGATGGCATGCAGCTTTTGAGAAGCTTTTGTTTATTATGACATCAAAAATAGATATGAACTTAATTCTAGAATCATTGAATGGATGGTTTTAAAGTGCCTTTGATTTTATGTGATATTAAGCTTTTTTTTTATTTAACAGCTCAATAAATTCATCACCCTCATGCTTCAGTTGTCATGTGATTCTCAGTCTTGCAGATATTCAAAATGCTCATGTTATCATGAATGTACTTGCAGAAATGCTAAATGCTTTGGAACCAAGAAAAAAAGAGGTAATCTTTCAGCTCTATAACTACACTTGTATTTTTATATTGAATTTAGATTAGATTTTCTTTGTCTCGTTTAAACCATGCTAGACCTATTGCTTTTCAAAATGACGCATAAGAGAAAGTAGCACCAAGTTCAACACTATTTGTCTCCTGTGATGTTTCAAAGTGAAATGGGCAAAATTTTGATGTAAGGAATAATAAAAAAAATGATGAAAGTAATATATGTTCAACTTAAACTTGAAGACTACTCCCCAAATTAAAGATTTGTTAGAAAATGAGCCATTGATTAACTTTTTGATATTATGTAAGAAATAATAGAATAGTGCTTTCATGCAATAATTTATTCATACTTTGTACAATAAAAATACTACGGATCAAATCTTTCGTAGATCCAATGACTCACTAGAAGACATGAACCAAAAGCTGGATCTCATAAAAGCAAAGTAGAGATGTTAGAAGCAAGGGAGATTGAGCGATGATGGTCAGAATGCTAAGGGCCTATCAAGAGGTCGACCGATCAAAAGCCAACCAAGCAAGAGGTTGATCAACTCTAAGATCACCTAATCAAGGGTCGAGCTATAGAAGGATAAACAGTCCAATGTCCTCTAATTAGGCATTGATCAACCCAAAAAGCAAATGGTTAGGATTCAATCTATTAAATAAGATCAAGGGGCATAATTGTCTTTTTATAATATTTTCAGACTTATAAATATGTATCACGATCCTGTCTGGGGTTTGGAATTAACTAAGATGAGAACAGACGGTCGGATGGTGAGAATTAATTTTTTTTATATTCGTATATAATTTAACAAATGAAAGAGTTATTAATCAAGATAATTTAAAGCAATATATTTAAAATTACTTTATTACCAGTTGTCTTGGTCTTCTATACACATTTTATCTTCTATCGCTCATATTTAAATCACCTAACTAAATCTAAAATATTAATTTTATAACTATAGTAAACTAAACAATGACAGTGAATACTCATACTTATAAACCATAGTAATACAAAAGAAAATGAAGCAATATGCATGTTAGTCAAGATTTTAATATATTAATAAAAATATTTGATGTTATTCAAATAATCTTATTATATTAATATTAAATCAATATCATTATATATTTGTATAACCGTCACATGAGCACCGTTTAAAAATTATGTTAATTAAAATACATTCATATCTATATTCTTTTACACATACGTGTACGAGTAACTTATTGTTCTCCCACTAGTACCCTCAAAATTTTACTCCATCGCAACGAGTAAAACATATAGAAGTATTCAACATAAACATATAATTCATGTATTTATCGAATTTAATTTAGCATACTATATAAAGCATACACCAAATTCATTAGAGTAAATAGGTACAACCATTCATAATAATATGACCGGTAATGAAAAAAATATTTCAAAATGAATACAACATGTGTAAGTGTCATTAATTGCAAAATAGCTACAATGAAATAAATTATTACTATAGATTAAAAGTATAATTACTCATCTTGATGACCTGATGTCGACTCTTCTACAATGGAAACCTAACATAAACATGATATTCATATAAGAAAATTTTAAAATAAATTATTATTTTAATTAAACATTAACTTTACATTAATTATAAAGTTTTCATATTTACTTAATGTCATTCTACTAATAATAATAATAATAATAATAATTATTATTATTATTATATATTTATTTTATTTTAATTTATATTAAAGCTTACCTTAGTCGAGCTCTACTCCACGCAAGAAAACTTCTTCCCTCTACACGCGGTGCGTTCTCCGCTTCAGAGCTCAGCTTCGACTCTCTCACACAAGTTTTCTTCCTCCTGCTTCTTGTTCCTTTGCATAGTACCGACGCAACTTTCTCCTCCACTCGACAAAGATGCCATCAACCACTGAAACCATCCTCAGCCTTGATCAAGGTACAGAGAAGCCCTAACTTGCGCATGTTTTCTAACACATGCGCTTTTCTCTAATATCCTTCGTTCCTTCTTTTCATCTCCTAAGTAACTGAAATTGGGCGTTATAATTTTTCCCACTTACAAAAATTTCATCCTCGAACTTCATAAACATGCCGCAAGTCATTTCTCATTAAGCAGGTCAACATTAGTCATCTATGAAATAGGGGTCATTTATTAATATAAATGTAATCAATATAAAGGTAAAGACTTAATACAAGGCAACTCAACAATACTTCGAATAACAAAATTGAAATAAGAGGGTATGTTGGGAAAATACCCTTATATATAAGAAAATTTCAAACTATCAGACCTCATCACCATCAGTAGTTGCAAGTTCTTCAGGCTCATTATGAGTAAGGGAATAAACTCGAGGCCGAACAAGCTGTTTCGATTGGCCTTGGGTAGGATCTGAAGACTTTATCGTATTCTTCCCACCTGTAGCCTTCTATGAAGAAGCTTCACCTGATTTTTGATTTTTAGTGCTCTTCTAGACAAGAGATGGACAATATTTTGCTATATGAGCAAGCTGACGACACTAATAACAAGTGTTAGAGTTCATCAAACATTTACCTTTATGTTGTTTTCCATATTAGGCATAAATGATTACTATACCCTGAGGTTTACCTTTGCTAACTCCACTAGAATTGTTCTTGGACTGCTTCCTATTGAATCCCTTTGATTGATCAACATTTTCTTATACAGTCTTCCTCTTGTGCATTTCTTTACGCTTGAGTAAGCTAATGGTCGATCTCAACTCTTCTCGCTCGTTCCACTAATATCAAATGCTCATCGATCCCTAAAGGTACTAATGGTTGTCTAATCGAATCACTTAATCCTGAAAGAAATCTCTAGCCCTTTTCTTTTACATTAGCGATCAATTATGGCGCATATCTTGATAGTGCAGTGAATTTTGCTTCTTATTGCATAATTGTCTTCTCTCCTTGCCTGAACTTGTTTAACTTTTCATGTATCTATTGTCGAGAGGATAGGGATATGAATCACTCTCTATAAAGATCCGCAAACTCCTCCAAACTTATCATTATGTTTGGTATGTTCCCTAACTTGTTTTGACGCTAACCACACAACCACCTTTCAGCTTCTCCGTCTAGTAAAAACGTCGTTAATGGTACTCATCTGTCAGCTGGACAAGTCATTCTATCTAATATCTTCTTTATCTGTATTATTCAGTTCTCTGCTTCAATTGGAACTTCGGTTGTCTTAAATAAAGATAGACATATATCTTAAAATATCTCCAAGTACTTATCCACAACAGATGTATCATTTCTTATAGGCTACGATCTGGACTCCTGAATCACTGGAGTCATCAACACCGTTATTTGGGTGAGGATAGTCGTGTTCATGTTAATGGTAGGTTATATTTCTTTGTTCAGTATCGATTTCCCTTCTTTTATAATTTCGAATGTATCACTATGTCTGAATAGATAATAATTATTAACTTGAGCTAACTTTAATTTAATAATTATTAAAATTTTCTTATATTTATCCTATTTGATCTTTCATCCATATTGCATTAATTAATCCTAAACCTGGCTCTGATATCACTTTTATCACGACCCTGTCTGGGGCTTGGAAATAACCAAGACAAGAATAGGCGAGCATTAAATGTACTAGTGGTTTCAGAGAGAAGCCAATAAAAATTCTCTGTTAACAAAATCTCTTCACTTGTATTTCTCTCCTTATATGTTATATTTCCTGATTGTGATTCACAAACAAATCTTTGAGTTGGATTTTATTGAGCTCGATAAAAGAATATTTGCATTATCATAAGCTAAATTCCTGGTAAATTGCAGGATTTAAAGCAGGAGGTGATGGTTGACCTTGTTGGACAGTGTCGTCTATATAGGCAAAGGGTGGTACATCTTGTTAATTCTACCTCGTAAGATCTTGTAATTTCATACTTATTTTCTTATTTATCTTTATACACTTCTTTTTTCATTTTTACCCCTAATTTTTTGCGGCCACTTTTGTCACATCATTAATTCTCTTTTAGACCTGCATCGGATGGGGCGCATAGGCCCAGCATTTATTCTTTCCTGCCCATGCCCAGCCCGACCCATTCAATGGGTAGCTGGGCCGGTGCGGGGTGGGCCAACCCAGTACAACTTGAATGCTCTAATTTTAGTCCACCGGCATGGTTATGGATAGTTATTTCTGAAGCACTATAGCAGTCTAGCATATTACCTTTTTATATGCACGGAAAAAGAATGATTTTAACTTCTACATGCAACTACTTAGGATTATATCAAATAAAGGTTGAAAAAATGACCAAAAAAACTTAGCTTTTCTTATAATCTTTTTTATTATTTGCATGGCACATTCATAAATAAATAGATTATGAAAAAAATTTAATTATAAGAATGAAACAATCAGATTAGTGGATAAAGATAAAAGGGAAAGTTACATGCATACCATAAAATTATCATGTATTTACATATATAAAACTTGAAGTTTTAAGTTTACATTTATAAGACATTAGTGTTAATGGTATATTTGGCTTTTAAAAGATTGTGATCTTTTTTATGTGAAGTTAATAATTTTAGAGCTTGCCATGTGAATCGGGAGATTTAGATATTAGATATATAAATATGTAATACTTTTATGGTATTTGACTGACTGTTGACCTTTTCTGGTAGAGGTTAATGTATACCATTTATAGAAGTTCAAGCCCCAACCCTTTGGCTGAGTGGGTTTAGGGCTTTGACTAGGTGAATACTTGAATTAACCATTATGGTAAGGCATAACCTTGCCCACTTGGGTAAGCTTGGAAATGTTAGGATCCACTATGGCCATCAAACTTATTTAGGAAGGAGATCTACCCAAATTGACCCCTTAGCCTCACTAGTGACCTTCTTAACTCCTCCAAACTCTAAATTTCAGACCAAAACCCTAATTTGTCCTTTTAAACCTAAAAGGGATAAAACCACCATATGATCAACCCAGGGTCAAATGGTCAACCTTGGTCAACGATGGTCAACCCATAATAATATGGTCAATTTTTCATTCTCTTAAATAAATAAATAAATAAATAAATAAAAGAAGGAATTTAAGACCCATTAAGCTTAGGTTTAGGCTAAAATCCTAATACATTGCTTAAAATCTAAACACTTAGCCCATGGCTCAAGTCCATGGATTAAAGCCCATGGTCCAAGCCCATGACCCAATGGGTTACCCATGACCTACACAAACCCACCAGGGATTTGAATAACCTATGCATTATTTAAATGTTAAAAAAACAAAAGAAAAATTAAAATATTGGAGAAGGGACAAAGGGAGTTATTTCTACCTACTTCCCCCTCATACTTCACATTCTAGTCCAAGTAACTCGAGTCCCTTCATGCTTGGGTCAAGAGGAAGTTCTTCCAAGCTCAACTACCCCACCTCTTCCCCTGTCCAATGCCCAAGAGCCACGGATTCCTCCCTCTTCCTCCATTGGAGCCAAAATGAACAAAAATGCCAAAAGAGGAATCCTCTTCATAACTCCTCCCCTTGATCTATGAAAACACTTCAAAGGAGTTAGGGTGTCTTCCCAAGACTAAGCTTGGCTTCATCAAAGCCTCTCATGGCCTTTAAAAGGGCAAGCCTAAGAGCTCCAATAGGAGGAACATCTTACCTAAGCTTCCAAACCTCTGGCCTCAAGAGAGAAAAACTTCTCCAAGACATAGACAGTAGATTTCCCATCTCTCTAAGGCCTAAAACCCTCTGTGAAACCCTAATTTCCCACTCCAAATCCAAGGCAAATTTTGCGTATGAAATAAACTCCACCAAAGCTTCAAATTAAACCTCCGACAAGCTTCCCTGAACCTTACAAAGAAATTTCCCATCGAAACCAAGCCTTCCCGAGGTCTCCAACCTATTCCAAGCTGAAGCAGAGCCACTATTCCACCAAGGATCTACATAAGCCTGATTTCATTTCAAATCGGACCAAGGAGGAGCTTCGTGAGGTCTTCACGAACGTTTCTGTCAACCCCAATTGAGACCACACCTCTTGGGCCAAGGTACGCATCGGAAACCCTAAAATTTGCTTTGGTTCTAGGCCCTTGTGAAAGAAATTATCACGCCATGCTTATAAAAATGATGGAACAATTACCTAAGCCTAAGTGCAAACCAAGTTGGGCTTAGTCCAATCCTTTAAGTTTAATCTAAATTAAACTTATAAATTAAACTTAATTTAAACTTAACTTATATAACCTTTAGGTTCAAACCCAGATTGAACCTAAATCCAAGTCTAAACTAACTTAGACTTAGTTTCAGCCTTTAGATTCAACTTAAGTTTAACATAAGTACCCTTAAGTTTAACCTAAATTGAACTTAAATTTGAGTTTAAACTTGAACCTAAATCTATAAGATCAATCCATATTGAACCTAAGTTTAGCTTTGGATACTCCCAATCTTCAATAGGTCTAATCTAAATTATACCTAATGAATTAACTATGTCTTAAACACATTAGACTTAGTTAAATCAACAAAGAATTAGGACTTACGTACATTAGAACTCATTATTTAGTTAAGTCTTAACTAAATTTGACTTGATTAAAACTAAGCTTCTAAGTCTAAATTACCTTAGAATTAACTTAATTTCAACTCTAAACCTATTCTATGTTCGACTTAATCGATTTTAGGTTCAGCTAACACTGAGTCTAAAGAAAACATTAAGTCTTATCCACATGAATCTATACTAACTTTACTTTGCAGGTTTATTCAAGGCTTGAATTGGATTGTCACTACATACTTTACAGGGACAAAAACAGAAGATTGGGAACAAAAGATGAACTCCAACTGAACATTGACTTATAGGATAGTTAGAATCTTTAAAACTCTACTACCTTGAAAGTGAAATGTTGGCATTTTCTTAGAACATTTTTTTTAACCTTAATCAGTGGTCTTCTTAAATGGCTTTTACCGTTTAAGATATAATTAACTATAGGGGCTTGCCCTTATAGGAAGAAAAGAACTCCAAAATAAATATATTAATTCAATTTCTCTGGTTGTTAATTTTCATAAGGATTCCTCTGTAATCATATCTTTAAAGTATTTCCAACATAAACTTTAAGAATGCTGGTATTTAACCTCATGGAAGTCTCCATACATATGTGTTCCTGTTATCATTTACCTCGATCCTTTAGTCTTCATGGTGAAGATTAGTCCGGTAAAAGGTTGTATAACCGCTCTCCTGTCGTCGTCAGAATGTCGGCCACCACCACTATTTTGACATTCTGGATGGTAGGCATCGTCAGTTTTTTATCTATTTTCATTTTCGTTGTTGTGGAGTCACCAATTTGTTATCTGTTACACTATCTTTTACAGGACTAATCTTCACCATGAAGATTAAGTGATCGGGGTAAATGATAACTGGAACAAATATGTATGGAGACTTCCATGAGGAGAGATACCCGTATCCTTAAAGTATATGTTGGAAATTCCTTAAAGATATGATTGTGGAGGAATCGTTATGAAAAACGATAACCAGAGAAATCAAATTAACATATTTATTATGTATTTTTTTCTTTCTATAAAGGTAAGCCCCATATATTTAATTATAACTTAAATAGTAAAAACCATTTAAGAAGACCCCCAATTAAGGTTAAAAATTGTTCTAATAAAATGTCAACATTTCACTTTGAAGGTAGTAGAGTTTTAAACACCCTAACTATCCAATAAGTCAATGTTCAATTAGAATTCATCTTTTGTTCTCAATTTTTTGTGCTTGTCTCTGCAAAGTATGTAGCGACAATCCATTTCAAGCCTTGAATAACCCTGCAACGTAAAGCTAGTACAGATTTATATTTTAGTTGTTGAATTTTTAATATTTCAACAACCCGATCAAGATGTCTATGGCTCTGTCATCCCGTGGTCATCAAGGTATTCAAATTTACTTAGTCTAAAAGGTGATTAAACCAAGACCTGAAAAATTTTATCAGCAACCACAGATTATGTCATCTAAGAGAACTTCATAGATATGAACACTAATGTAAGTTTTAATGTCTTATTCTGATTTTAGGGGTTGGAAAATTTTAGGTTGTATACGATTTATTATCCAATTAAATTTTTTCATTTTTGTTACTTATTTTTGTTTGGGATGACTCGATCAGGATCTCATGGTTCCGTCGTCCTAGGTCATTAAGTTTGCAGTTTGATTAGTCACGAATGATTAGAATATATTCTGTTAGCAAACCTCGATTACCTCCTCCAAAATATCCTCCCAAACCTAGTTGCATTTTTGGGTTCAAGTTTAAAATTTAATGTCTTTTAGCGTAGATCTTGATTTCTTAGCCTAAAGTATCTCTGATTGAGGTAAAATGTGCTTCATTTCTTGTATTGAGAAATAAAACCCTGTTTAGCCTTTGATTACTTGGCTTAAGATTTTATCTTTAGAATTATTCAAGTTGATTTGAATTAATCTAAAGAAAGATTTTCATGTCATTCAATTTTAAGGTTATTTAGGCTAATTATCCTTCGGATAACTCTCAAGTTCTGTTGAACTTACTTAAGTATATTAGGATTGACCCAAACTAATTTAGGTTAGTTTGGATAAATTCAAGTTCAAACAACTTTTAAAATTAAGTGAAAGTTTAGGTTAATTTAAACATAAATTTTCTTTAAATGTGAATAAGATTTAAATCAATTCTAGACTCAAATTAATTTTGAACTTAGAATGTTCATTATATATAACCATGGTTCATCCAAATGATCCAATTTAACTAAGGATTAGTTTGGTTAACTTTTTAGTTAAATCGAAAAGAATTTAAAGTGAGCTAGATTCCTTTAGTTAAAGTTAAGTTAGATCTAGGTCAAAGCTTGAGTTGGATTGGAATAAATGAAGTTGATGTTGGAATTGAGTTGGGTCTAAGTTAGTTTAAACCTACTCTAAATTTAACT